GCCGCCCAGCAACCTGACCTTGCGCTTCCCCTTCTCCAGGACTGTGGGGAAGGAATGACCCTCGTTACCAGCCACCTGACACACACATCCGACGCCCGCCACACCCTCTGCCTGAAATGCTGCCTTTTCTCTGCGTGCTAAAGTCAGTCATCCTTCCAGACGCGGGCAGAAACGCCGCCTCTTCTCAGAAGCCCTACGAAAAGTGGATTAAGTAGAACATCTATACAATAGAAAATTATGCCCACGGTAACACAGGGATGTAAACATGTACATATTTTACAGGGAAAGGTATTCTGGAGACAGTCAATACACGAAGCAGGTTCCAAAACTGTGTGTACCGCGAGATCCAATAATGTGTAATAACTGGCGAGAGAGACCAACCAGACCTAACGAAGAAAATGGAGAGAACTCCATGCCACGCGGCCCAGAAGAGCGCTATGCACGGAGGTGCCAGCAGAGGGAGCCCACGGGCAGCGCGACGTCAAGTCGAGCCAGCCAGGTCCACGCTCGGGAGCAGGGACAGATGCAGGAAGAAGCACGACGACTGTGAAGAGCAAAGTCCACCTGTCCGTTAACACGTCACTCAAAAAGCTCCGGGCGGGCTCTCCCTAACTGTGACAGATATCTGAGGGACAGTCTGAGGCGAAAGCTGTATGACACATACAAACGCACTTGGGGGGCCTCGAAGGGCACGAGGGGCACGCACGGACGCCGTGATTACCTGGGAGGAGATGCCGGCTGCTGGTACCCGGCACGGTGGGCCTGCCACCGCTGCAGCCGGCCGGAAGGCGCGCCCGCTGGCCAGGCACAGGACAGCTGGACCCCCAGCGAAACTAAGGGCAGCAGTGGATGACTGGTCATTAACGACTGGAGCTCAGAGTCCACATGTGATGGTTAATTCTCTGTGTCCGTTTGACGGGGCCACAGGCTGCACATTGCTGTAGCTGTGCCTGTGCGGGTGTTTGTGCACCGGGTGGACACTGAGCTGAGGGACGGGCAGGGCAGGTGGCCCTCCCCAGGGCCTGGCCTCTTCCAATCTGCCGGAGACACACGTGGCATGGACAGTTTGAGAGGAGACAACTCCCGCTCTGCTCCGCCCGCCCGTTTTCAGCCTTGGGACGCAGACTGGAAGCGACACCATCAGCTCCCCCGGGCCTCCAGGCTGCCCACTGCACACGACAGGACTTCTCAGCCTCTGTAACCCCAGGGGCCAATTCTTTATACTAAACCTCTTCGGAGGCCTGGCTACCCAGGCCCGTTCTGGTTCCGGCCACTTGTGCGAGCTGAAAGGGTCCCCTCCGCCTTCCGGGGGAGCAGCCGCTGACTGGCCCTTCGCGGAAACAGGACCTGGCCATCGCGTCCCTTCCCGGTCCCGCCTTCCCTGAGGAAGGCCAGGAGCCAGGAGGCCGTTCTGCAGTCGGGATGACAGCGTGGAGGCCGGGGCTTAATGCGCAGCACCGTCGTCCCCCGGCCTCCCGAGTGCTGTTAAAAAGGCAAAAGACACGGCAGGAAACCCTGAGCGACCGAGGTCACAGCGACGGGAGCCGAGGACGTGGACACGACCGAACGCCACGGGGAGTTCAAAACGAGTCACGGGACCTGGCGGCCTGGCCACCTCCTTGCGGGCGGATTTCAGCCAGGGCGATGGCGGGAGACGCAGAGGGGGCGCGTGCGGAGGCCAGCGGCGCGGGGGAGGGGTGGACACGCGGGAAGGCAGCGGCGTCCGTCTGCAGCGCGGGCGGCGGCGCAGGCCGCTCGGGCCCACGGCCCCTCCCCTGCGGGCCTTCTCTTTAACTCGTGTCGGCCCACAGGTCGGGAACTTCGCGTTAGAATTTCAGGAAATCCTCCCCGTGGACATGCACTTTCCCCCTCCACTGTCCACCCCAAGGGCGGAGTCCATTGTGGCATCGTCCTCTTCGGCGCCCTCTCTCCAGAATAAAATCGCGCAGACCAGCAAACGTGTTAAAGCTATTTCGGCCTGCGTGCAAATATTCTGTGAGCGATAAAGGCGTTTCTACAGAGTCCCAAGCCACTTACTTGACCCACTGACTTGCAGGACAATTCTCGCCTGGTAGGCGCCCCTAAAATTCTACACACAGGGCTTTTCTGCCCTCTCAGAATGACCGAAAATGAGTCCAGGTCCAATCGACAGGCCAGGAGCCCTTTGCCCCTTTAAGAAATGTTTTTTTGAAAAATTAAAGAGCAAGAATCGGAATGAGAACGCGCCATCCTTCCCTCCCTGGACCTCCACACGCGCGGTCTCTGGCTCACCTTCACCTGGGGAAGCCAGACCTGGCGAGAAATCGCGAACATGCCTGCATTCTCTGCAGCAAGCCAGAGAGTGGATTCCAGAACGTACGAAGAGGTCTCACACTGTCGGGGAGGTCCTCCCCACCACTACGGTTCTGACTGGGGCCCCAGTGGCACACCAGAAAATGATGACTGGTTAGGTGCCCAGATAATTAGCTGCAACATACAAAGTTTTTCATTTTATAAATAGAGTTCGAGTTGTATGGTCCCTCCTGGTGGTTTCCATGACGACAGGCTCAGGGAACAGTTCTCTGACCAGTGCTTCTCAGACTCTAATGCGTCCGCAGACCACCCGACCGACTGCAGACTGAATGAATGATGTGACTGACCAGGTCTGGGGCGGGGCCCGAGGGTCTGCCTTTCGGACGAGCTCCAGGGGCTCCTCACACTTGCTTTCGGCTAAATCTGCCCGCGGATGAAAGCTTGAGCGAACTCTAAATACTCATCGTTCCACGTGGCCTTCCCATAGGCGTCTCCTTTTGAAAACAAGAGCCTGATTTTGCAGCCAGAGAGCTGTTGCTGTTTTGGCGTGTGTTTCTGTTTTCCCGCTATCCTAACCGTTCCCAAACCGAGCCAGGTGAGACAGGGGACAGAGCTGGCTTTGTCACGACGGGGGATGGAGGCCCTGGAATGGCGGACGCCGGCCCGGCCTTTTCAATGGGGGAGTGACAGAGTCTGGAGGCTCAGGAACATGGGGATGAAAACAGGCCGTTCCGGCTGAGAGCACTAACCCCATATTTAAGGGCGCAGTGGTCCTCGTGGTGAGATTATGGGAAGCTAAACATTTCCAATTTGCTGACTGGGTATAAACCGAGCCCTGCAGGGGATGGTAAACACGCCCGAGCGGCAGGACCTACGGGAAATGAATGAACCGGTGGACCGGGTTTTAATTTGGAAAAACTTCCACACTGCTTACACAGCTATTCTTAGCGACTCGAGGTTCGTAGGAAACACGTTTCCTTAAGGCAGAGGGAGCGGCTCTAGAACAGCAGGCACTTATTTCAAATTAATATTTGGTCAGGAACTCCCACCATCAGCACACTGAGGCAGAACAAACGTACTCAAAACACCCTGCCGCCAAGTCGGACGCTTAGGCTGAGTGCGCTTTTAAACCATAACAACTTAATTGGGTCGACCACTAAAAAAATGCACGGCACGAATACTGCATTTTATCCTAAATTTTACTAAGAAATAGAGTCTCATGCCAAAATGTACAGGATTTCTATCTGAACCTGCTGCTCTGGTTAAGAAATGCCATTTACAATTACAAATCTCATATATTTTCCCTTTCAAAGACAAATTTCACATATTTCCTTTTTAAGGAAGAATACCTATGCTACAAGTCAACTCAAGAGAGCCCGTTATCTTGAACCCAAATCGATGACTGGAAAGCTTAAACATTAAACGGCCTCTGTGTCCTGTGGCACAGACTGAAGACGGAAAATTTTTAAACATCTGACTACAATGACACTTGGGTTTATTACTGTGAAAGCTCCTTACCGATTCTCTCGGTTTTATAAAACATCATTACCAAACAGGTCATTTATCACAAAAGCATACAAAGTCATTTATTCTAATAAGCTCTCTTAACGGTTAAAGGACGTGATGCTTCGAGATGCAATGGGGAGGGAGCATGGGATGAGAAAATACCTTCCTGAAAAGCGTCCAGAACCATCGACCCATGTGATCACTGTCACGGTGTCCTTGAAAGATCAAGATCAAGAGCTAGACGTATGACTGAATAATGCTACTTATAATGGCTACGGCTACTAACTAATCACTGAACAGACTTCCTCTGATTTCTGTGCACACAGCTAGTCTTCACCTCCCAGCCTCCCTCACAGTTAGACGTGGCCAAGCGACTCAGCTCTAGCCAAGTGAAAATTTTACACACACGCACGCACGCGCGCGCTCCCCCCCACCCCCTTCTCGGGAGCTATAAAGACTGTTGATAGCCACTGAGATTTTGAGGTCTTTACTACCGCAGAATTTAAAGGAAGCTGACTGGTAGAACTATTTTGCCAAATAGAGCTTCAGATGGATTTTTTTAAATTCCTCTTTTAAAATGATCATATCCTTAGATGAAAAGGTTTTGGAAACGAACAGTACCTGAGAGACTGCTGCAGAGGGCAGCTTTACGTGTGGTTTCCAAGGAAGGTCAGAGTTCATGATAAAAGAAAGGATGACTCGACTATCCAGCTTCATGATTTAAAGTAAACAACCAGAGGAGACAACCACCGGGGAGCTCTGGTTAAAGCCCTCCAGCGCCTTAAAAAAAAATAAATCCTAGTAGTCGCAATGTCAGCTCCCTAGCCAGAGACGTTGCAAATATACGAAAGGGCATTGTCATCTTCAGAGAAAGTTTCACCACAGGTAAAGGGTGGGTGAGCTCACAAAGCTGGCCAGGGGTCTAACATCTTTCTAAAACTAAACCGAAACAGACATCTATTCAATACAGAAGTAGGACACCAAGTTCAAGGCGTACACGGGATCCTTCCAGTCTTTTTTTCTTGGCCAAGTTCAGTGCAAACCGCCTAGCAGCATGGCAAACCCATCGCTGCGCAGGATACAGTCACCGCTGGCGGCCCCACCCTCCCGTGGCCCCCTAAGGCAGACACGGCCCCCTAAGGCACACGCAGCCCCCAAGGCAGATGCGGCCCCAGCACCCCACCAAGCGGTGCCCTACATACACATTGAACCGGCATGTCGATCAAACCAGAGAGCAGTTCCGAATCTGGATTCTCCATAAGAGGATTTGATTTCGAACGATAATCCCCTGGACGAATCTGGCCTCCAAATTTTGAGAACTGGAAATCAAAAGGCAGGAACGGCAGAGGGCGGAAGGACAGAGAGACGAGCTCCGGAGGGTCAGCAAGCATCACGGCCCCGACTTAGTGGCGGACGATGACGGCGTCAGCCGAACCGATCGGGCCCTCGCGGTTTTCTCTGCCACACGGAAACAGAAACTCTTCACACCGACTTCTTCCAGCAGTTGCTCTGCTGCTTGCGAACAGGCCGAGGGGGAGAGGCAGGAAGATGGCCCTCCCGTCCAAAGCCCCAGGGTTTCACCGCAGGAACCGGACCTGCCTCGCTGGGAAATGCTCCCCACACCTGTCACCCGTCACCTGCTCGCTGACCCCACTCCCCACCTACCTAAAATCACAACCATATCCTTCCTAAACCACGCACACACGTACCCAGTCCCCATCGCCCGGCTCTAATGTTCAGGAACACACGACCTAACAGACCATATGATATACCTGTAGTGACTGTCTCCCCCCACTGGTACGTAAGTTACACAGGAGCAGGATTTTTTCCTTTATTTTTTATGTCAGGTTTATTTTGTGCACCGATCTATCCCAAAGTGCCTGGGGCAGTGCCTGACACGAGATCAATATTCACTGAATGAACGTCCCCGCCCAGCTCCGAACCTCTCCACAGCTCCCCGCACTTTATCAGACCAACTCCGAGCCTCCTCCAGGGATTCCGGACGCTGGTGGCCTTTCCCACCCTTAACCGCAAGGATCGGACTCAGAACTCGGGGAGCCAGTCTCGTCTGCCTCCTGCTTCCTTACCCCGTGCTTCGTTGGTGTGTCCCCTCTCCAGCAAGGCCCTGCCCGATACCACAACACCTTCACCTGACAGCATCGCACCTGCTGTCAAGGAGATGCCCTTCCCTGGGCCTCTGAAACGCTGTCCCTTTTCAAACACTTTTCCGAATCCTGAGCCCTAACGGGCTCCCTTCCAAAGGCTCATCTTTTGCCAAGAGCCTGATTTCCCACATCTCCCTGTACGGTGGTGACTCGTGCCTGAGTCACATCCCCTCCGCTGATGGGCGCTAACCTGGGGCGCCCATGGCATCTGGGATTGGGGCACATTGTTTCATACAGGAGAGCCGATGGCTGCACATTTTACAACTCAGACCAAGCAGTCCTATTGGATTAGGGCCCCTCCTCTATGACCTCATTCAGCCTTAATTATCTTCTTAAGGCTGGATCTGTGGGTGGGGAGTGGGGGACCACTAATGGGTGAGAGCTGCCTTTTGGGTTGATGCTCTTAAACTGATTGCTATAAAGATTGCACAAGTACATCAATATACTAAAAACCACTGAATTGCATACTAAATGCGTGAGTTGCATGGTATGAGCATCTTATCTCAATAAAGCTGTTATTTTTAAAAAGCAAGGTTGGCGGGGATAGGGCAGGTAGATGGGGTAAAAGGGGTCAAATATGTGGTGACAGAAAGAAATCTAACTATGGGCAGTGAACACACAATGCAATATATATATTGCATTGTGCCTTACTGTTGAATTGTACATCTGAAACTTACTGGATTTCGTTAACCAAAGTCACCATAATAAAAATAAATAAAGTGTAATCTTTTCAATTAAAAAATAAATTAAATAAAAAGGGCTTGGATAATCTAAAAAAAAGTAAACTGTATTCTTTTCAGAGGCCCAATTTAAATAGAAGCCCCCTCCTCAATCCCCCCACACACCCCCCACAAAATGCACCTGGTTAAATATTTATAATCATGGAATATGGTTAAACATTAGTTTAGAAGCTCATTTATTTTATCCCCATCCAGTCTAGTGTCAATTTCTTAAATGTATTTTCTGGTCATTTAGCAAACCTATCATTAAAATATAAGATTTCAGACACTGAAAAAAATATAAATAAATAGATAGATAGATAGATAAATAAATAAATAATAAGTCAAAGGATAATACTGTATATAGGATATACAATATGATCCCATTTGTACACATTTTTACACATGAGTAAGCGTATATGTTGGAACACGGAGGAACATTTTCCAGAAAGTCAAAAAATTTAACACTGTCATTGGGAAGGGAGAGACTTTGGTGAATGGGTTAAGGAAAGAGGAATTTCAATTTTCATTTTATCCCTTGCTGTTCACTTAAAACTTGTTCTACACCATGTAAAAGAAAATGTAGACTTTTTTAAAATTAAAAGAATAAGAGCTTTGTACCATAGTTAACTGGCATAAGAAAAGTTAAAGGGATGAATCAAGCAAACTGCAGTCCAGATCAGACCCCTGCACACAAAGGAATTCATATATGACAATAGTTAATACCAGCCGATAAAAAAAATAAACCCTTCCTTAACTTAGGCCAGAAATTCCAGATGGAATAAAAAGCTATAGATAAACATTAGTAAACACACCCAATAAAACTGTTAGAAAAACGACAGGAGATCACCTGCATAACTTAAGTGCTGACTTCTCTAAGATACAGAACCCAAAAGTTGCTAAAAGACTGGCAGACTGGGGTACATACCAATTTAAACTCCATTATGATCAAAGGCAGCATAAGTTAAGATAAGCGGTAGCTGGCAAGAAAATATTTCCAACAGTTGTAAGTTTATTATCTTGCACCATCCAGATAATAAAAATTCAACAGACGGTATCTTAAAATCACAACGTCGAAATTAAATTAGTCTTTAAATAAAATAATGGGTGGACTGAATTATAGGTTCATTCTTTGAAAGTTATTGATGGGACTTAAATACAACGTGTAGAAGTTAAAAAGCAGCTTTAATCTTGAGAATGGCTTGTGTTTTTATCAACGCTGTCATCAGACCCTCTTCAGTGAGCAGCATAAACCAATGGTTATTATAATTATTTCAGCTAAAAAAAAACTAGGACAACTGGTTCTCAGTAAGCAGGTTTTCTTTAATTACCATATGTCTCACAACATAAAGATAGCATTCATGTGGTGTTTAATATAAAAAAATCTGCACTGAAGTAAACATTCGAGTTTATTTATGTTGATTCTCTCCTCCTCTGTCCGCACATCTTTGTGAATATACCCAGCAAGGTACAAGATCATCACCAAGAGAAATAAAACCAACACTACCATTTCCCACTAAGAACAAAAAAATAATTCAAAACTGAGGGTTATTTAAGGCACAACGGCCACCCTTTCAAGGGCCCAGCAAAGGCAAGATGTGGCAGCAGCCCCCAACGTACACAACGTGACAGGACCCTTCTCCTCTCTGTGCACGATGAAAGGCCACATTATTCAATTCAAAGGTCATGGTCACACAGACTGGGGATTTTGACTGAGGGTTTTTATAACGAGCCCTAAGAAAGTCCTAGGTTGACTCTGACCGAACGCAGCCGTCAGTCCTCATCAAGTCCATGCTGCAAAACGAACAAACACATGGCATGAAAGCAGCCCGACACACGCAGACCAGCCGAACGACCCCCCGGAGACGCAGGGCCACGTGCAAAAGGAAATGCAATTTGATCGGCCCCTGAACTCTGCACAGGGACTTTCTGCTGGGACTGCGTTCTCAGTCCAAATGCCTGAAGTTAATTCCAAAGCAAAGCCAGCCCAGACGGAGCCAGGCTGCCTTTAGGACACTAAACCTGCAGTGGTCACTCACCTTTCGTCACCTGGCACACGTGGGCAGCCTGCTTTACAGACAGGGCCTGCTCTGACTTCTTCCTTTCCTCTACCTGTTTGGAATATTTCCATTGATTTCCAGCCGACTTCCTAGAGCTATGAGTAATTCAGACACAGGGAAAGGTTTCTGGTTTCTTTCAATCATTAGTAATTATATAATGAAGACGAAAGGAATTATATGTCATTCTCTCCCTTCCTAGTTTCTTTGGTTTGTTTTGTTTTTTCCTTTTCTCATTCCTCGGGGTGATTTTCTGTTATTTTTCCTTTATTTTTGGTACTTATTCCTTAATAACAAAGTGATCTGAGCTGTGAGATACTCTCCTGAGTTCAGCCGTGCCCCTCCTCACACTAACATGAAGTTTTCTCCTTATTGATTTCTAGGCAGTTTGCTATTTCTCTTTTTATGCTTTGATCGGAGGTTTCATGAGAGTGTGTTTCTTAGCAATCAAGTAGTAAGATGTTTCCAGAACCTCTTCACAGACTCTGTGGCCTGACAATCATTTCACAAATGCACGAATGTAACTGTAAAATAAAATGAACTAAATGACAAAAACATTGTCACGAAATCTAATTACGCATGAATTCAGCAGGCGTGTGTGACAGAATGAGCCCCTGGCTCCTCCTCGGGGACCTCTGATGTTCTCGCTTTCACTCCCCACAGGTGGCGGGAAAGCTACCAGCTGGAGAGGGCCTGGTCCCCGAGCTTCTGCGTACTACGAAGGTGACAAGGATAACAGCCAGGCAAGGACACCACATCCTGGACCGTTAAATGAGAATCGAAATTTTATGATGTGAAGCCACTGAAACTTTCAGGTTGCTGCGAAGGTATCCCATAACCTGGAACCATTTGTGATCTCTAAACACACACACACACGTATGTCGATACAGCACGTAAAAATATAAAAGCAAATATGAAGCCATTAACAGCTGTTATGTTATCTCTCAGAACAGGGACTAGGAGATTCGGAGAGTAGATAAGGGTGCTTTTACTTTTCACTGTATATTCCTCTGTGGCTGTTTCGTATATATATATTTTTTTTTACATTTACTAAAAAGGATTTCATGAAAATCAGATAGCTGCTGAAAATGTCCCAGGTTACTTAAACAAACCGCCAGCTGTCTACAGTGCTACAGACTGTACCACGTTACTGAATAAACAGAACAGCCTTATCTCAGCTAGAATGTCCTACGTTTCAGCCTTTATTATTAGCTCGAGAAGTCATAAAAAGAATTTTTGTTGCCCTTAGCTTTTATTCTGATTTATACCTACCTTTATGCACAGAAAGACAAGATATATTATGTCTCATAGTGGTAAGTTCCATTTTCAATAAGTAAAATACCTGAGTGTGAATTAGAGAATTGACCTCCATCCATTTCTTCTATCTTACATGACTAGGTAATAATTTATCAAAGTTTTACCATATCCATCCATTGAAATGTGCAATAATTTTTAAAACATTCATTTCTTCACTTTTTTTTTCGTGTTTTGTAAATTTCTCCAGACCATGTTTCCATCTCGATTTTTGGGGGGGCAGGGGAGGGGGGTAAGGGAGGACAGAATATTAACAGAACGACTTCATCCTTTGTAAAGTTGTATCCCAGCCATAAAAACATATAAATTATAGGATCTTTTAAAACTTTAAACCTATGAGGTTTGCT